TGCTTTGTCATCAATATTACTTCTGAGTTATCTCGAGCCGGAGGAGGTTAGTCCTACCCAACAGTTTGTTGTACAGTTTTAGCTCTCATTGTTTCAACTCCTTTTTCTTATATGGGAGGATGAGTTTAGTGCCTTAATTAAGGAGTATGAGACCAATATAGACTGGAATGTAATCTTTTTGATAAAATGTTATGACCAAATTTCATCTAATCATGGATTTGCCTAGTGGATGAAATGGAAATGAAATAACAATTAACTGTATGTCTGTACCAGTAAATGAGGACACTTGGATAGAGGATATTTCAATGTAAGGTTTGATTTTGAAAACTAGGTTTTGGCAAACTTTCATGAATGAAATTGTTAGTTTGCTTTTGAAGAATCGGGTTTGGACTTGATTTTTGAGATGAAATCAACTTCATTTAGATGTTACTGAAATAAAAACAATTTAAAACCGATTGCCATTAAATAAAAACTTAAGTACTCATGCTATGTCATTCAACCACGTGACCGTTGCATCTCAGTTTATACATTGCCAATTCGAACCTATTCTTCTTAAAATAATTGTTTATGTTGATATTTATAAAAGTAAAATTATAAAAAGTGGATTAGGTGAAGAACTTCTTTCAAGGTTTTACAGTGTAGCTATGAAAGTAACGAAGCAACGAAAATTCTGTATATGTTAAATCTTTTCATTGGTGACATTTTATTTTCTGGGAGGGCAGTGTTTGTCTTTTTTTCATTAGATGGTTGTATTTTCTCTTTTCATGGTCACTTCGCTTTATGTAAATTCTCAGATTAGCTTCCAAGAGTTCAAAAACAAGGTACTTGAACCTGGTCTTGTTGATCGAATTGTTGTTGCTAACAAAGATGTAGCCAGAGTTTATGTAAGGAGTTCTTCACCTGGTAATAATCAAACTGGTGATGACACTGTTCAAGGTCCTACAAGTGGTACAAATGGTAATAGAAACATTAGCAACTACAAATACTCTTTTAACATTGGGAGTGTTGAGTCATTTGAGCAGAAGCTTAAGGAAGCACAAGAAGCCTTGGGAATAGACTCTCACAATTTTGTCTCTGTGGTATATGTTAATGAGTTGGATTGGTTCCCAGAACTGATGAAGTGTGGTTTAACACTGTTGCTTCTAGCTATCCTTTATTATATGGATTTTGGAGGTGCTCGTGGAATACTTAATATTGGTAAAGCGCATTTCACAAAGATGGACAAAAATGCAAAGAATAAGGTGAGAATTAGTTCCCATTATTGGTACAGCTTCAAAAAACAGCAGTCTTTTCACTGAGAATTTGTTTTTTCATGATTAGTTGGAAACTAAAGTCAACTGGCACTTTATGGTACAGGTCTTCTTCAAGGATGTGGCTGGATGTGACGAGGCTAAGCAAGAAATTATGGAATTTGTCCACTTCCTTAAGAATCCCAAAAAATACGAGGAGCTAGGAGCCAAAATTCCTAAGGGTGCTCTTCTAGTTGGTCCTCCTGGGACCGGAAAGACACTTTTAGCTAAAGCTACAGCTGGAGAAGCTGGCGTACCTTTTCTCTCGACTTCTGGGCCAGAATTTGTGCAGATGTTTGTTGGTGTTGGTCCAGCTAGAGTTAGGAGCTTATTTCGGGAGGCAAGACGATGTGCACCTTGTATAATTTTCATCGACGAGATTGATGCAGTAGGTGGAACAAGAGGGAAGGGACGCTATTCTGGAGGAAACGATGAACGCGAGGGTACTTTAAACCAACTGCTTGTAGAAATGGATGGATTTGCATCCACATCTGGTGTAGTTGTACTTGCTGGTACAAATAGACTTGATATATTAGACAAAGCCTTGTTAAGGCCTGGTCGATTTGATCGCCAGATTACCATTGACAAACCAGACATAAAAGGTCGTGAACAGATTTTCAGAATCTATCTGAACAAGTTGAAACTTGACCAGGAGGCAGCGTTCTATTCACAGAGACTTGCTGCTCTAACACCAGGGTTTGCTGGAGCAGACATTGCAAATGTTTGTAATGAAGCTGCTTTGGTTGCTGTTAGGAGTGAGAGTACCACAATCAAAATGCAACATTTCGAGGCAGCAATAGACAGGGTGATTGGGGGTCTAGAGAAGAAGAACAAGGTATTCAATCTCCTCACTCTTTTTCTTAAGATGCTGTTATGAAATTGCAGTCCAGTAGGTTCTATTAAGAACTTGTAAAATGGAAAAAATTATGTTTGGATTACATAACAAAATTATGCAAGGCTACCTTTGTGCATTCTGCAGGTCATAAGCAAACTGGAAAGGAGGACAATTGCATATCATGAATCCGGCCATGCTGTTGCTGGTTGGTTCTTGGAACATGCTGAACCATTACTTAAAGTGACAATTATTCCTCGTGGTACAGCAGCACTAGGATTTGCTCAATATATTCCCAATGAAAATCTTTTAATGACTAAGGAGCAGCTATTTGATATGACATGCATGACACTTGGTGGCCGAGCTGCTGAGCAGGTATATTTATCAACTGTCTCCTTGTTTTCACATGTTTTCCCAACAGCATTATCAGTTAATCTTTTGTAAACATCTCATCATGCTGGATGCATATGCAAACCATTCCTGCCAAAGACTGTTAGAGCATCACACATTGGTTGAAAAAATAGGTTGTTGTCTCTTTATAGGGTCTTGGTCAATCCTCACATCATACTTCAAGAATGACTCATGTGACTTTCTCTTTAGGATATCAAAATTCTTTGATAATTCTGCTCTGCCCCTACAAGTAATGAAATAGTTTGCCTCTAGAAGGTGAATCCCCTGTGTTATGGTTCTGCTAGAATATTTGTAGGCATCACAGTTGTTTGTCGTCACAATATGAATGAGTAGTTTTCTAGGCGTATTTAAAAAGACAGTGTCATGCCACCAACTTTTACAGAGTAACATGCCTAAATGCATACATCCTAAACTATTCCTAATGAGTTTGGTCATATTCAATTTTCTGCTTTTCAACCTCATAGAAAGCTGCTCAATGAAGTAGTAGGCCTTAATATGACAACTCTGGATATTCATAGAATCAATAACCTAAAAAACAACGTCACATAATACGTCGTTGTTGGACAAGATTTAGTCACTACGTACCTTAACGAAAATGCCAGTCTCTTTAAATCTTTAATAGCAACTTTCTTTTTCTTTTCTTTTTCCAAAATTTCTACCTTGTTTTCCACTAAATCAGAATTTTACAGTGTTCATATGGATTTTAATTTTTGAGTAGGTTTTGATTGGAAAGATCTCAACTGGAGCTCAAAATGATTTGGAGAAAGTAACCAAGATGACATATGCCCAGGTAGCAGTCTATGGCTTCAGTGACAAGGTTGGTCTTCTTTCTTTTCCGCAAAAAGATGATACATTTGAGACATCAAAGCCCTACAGTAGCAAGACTGCAGCAATTATTGACAATGAAGTTAGAGAATGGATCGCCAAGGCTTATAATCGTACCCTACAACTTATAGAGGAACACAGAGAACATGTAGCTCAGATTGCAGAATTGCTACTTGAAAAGGAGGTCCTTCATCAAGAAGATCTGGTCCGGGTATTGGGTGAACGCCCATTCGAGAATAGTGAGCTTACAAACTATAACAGGTTCAAGCAAGGATTTGAACAAGAGAACGGAGAAATTAAAGATATCCTTAAGGACAAGACAGCACAAGATAATCATTCCTCTTCTGAGGAATCAGAGGTTGTCCCAATCAATGTTGTCAAAGGTGAAAACGTGCAAAAAGGAATTGAAAAAGACACAAGGTACATTCGGGCTTTAAGTGTAAAGCGCAAATGTGTATTTAAAGGATGGGTTCTAGTAAAAAAAGGTGCAGTGAAGAAAAAACAGTTATAGTAATAAAAGAATAGAAAAACCTACAATCAAATGTAATATATGAAGTACAAAGCATGTCTATCAAGTTCACCAATTTAAACTTTGATTTATATGCAAAAGTGCAGCTTTTAGTTTCTAAATCAGGTTAAATTATTAGTTTTCTTACGTCAATAATGTTGTGTTAACTGTGGTGGAAAGAGGAACCATAACAAGGGAATTCAAAAGAAGAAAGCAAAAATGCTACACCCGAAAGCTTCCCATATATTAAGGGGATTCAATCGTTAATATATATATATATATATATAAAAGAAAGTTGTTTTTACCTTACTTGCCTAGTATAATTTTCGGACAAAGGAATTCCATCGACCCCCTGCGTATCTACCTATTTGCCAATTATATTTATTGTTTAGTGCTAGCACTTTTAAGATAGAGTCCGTGGGCAATTATCATGTCTTGTTGACACTTGACACATTCGCAGCGGGAAACGTACCAACTAGATTTTTGTAAAGTTAGTTTTCTCTTGTATTATTTAACTGTAAAGTGTGGTTAGCTAGTTAACTACAACTTACACGGTAAATCATGCTCAATTTTTTATGTGAAAAAATAGAGGTAAGGTGAAAGTACTCTTGTTGACTTAATTGTACAAGAGAGAAGCTCTTTACATGAAAGTTTTTGTCTACTTACAAGAAAGTAAGTACATTTTCTATGCTAAATTTAAAAAGTAATGATTCTTCTACAATTTTAAGTGGAGACTACTCTACTTAATATTTTCTTGGCGTGAAAAGACCGTTACACTAGACCGTGACCCTAAAACGATCATCGAAGTAATGAGTTATGGCACTAAAATAGTTAATCGAAGAGTCAAGACTAATAAAATTGTAAAAATAAGAAAGACTCTGATACCACATGAAAAAGAGAAAATGTGAAGAAATAGTTGTTGAATTGATTATAGATAATACAAGGGGGCTTCTTATAAACGAGTTAGTCTACGTACAGTAACATAGCTAATTATTCTTTGTAAACTGTGAAGCAATTTGAACCTTGACACTACATATTCTAAAATTAATTTTCTTGATGTTTTAGCATTATGCTTTCAAGATCTTTGGAAGAAAGGTAGAAAAAAGACCACTCCACTTGCATCTAATTCTGTATATGCAAAACTTGTTCTCTTTTCAAATGGAAATCCAAATGATGGATAACGAAGCGAAACAGACAAGATAACAATCGAGACTTGTTAAACTTATACAATAATGTTTAATAACAAACGCCTTGCACATAAGGCACCCCAGGGTGTAGCCTTATGGTCAGTGAAATGGGATAAAAGGCCTCGACCGACAAGAAATCAAATTCCATTAGAGACAAAAAACACTAGGTAATCTTTTCCTATCTGCCTAAAACTCGATGATGAGCAGAGCTACCAGGTACTTGTTCTGGTGAAAGGTAGCAGGTATGTGCTACACACTTTGCAGCAATGATTATCTGCTGGTAATTCAACTTCATCATCAGTTGGCGAGAATATTTTCTGAAGCCTCACCTTGTCTGATCATCTATTGATCAGTACTGAAGAAGCTTGCTGAAGTTTAGCAATGAAGTAAACATTGTATCGCTCGTGTGAGCAAACATTTATTAGCTTTAACAACAGCATGAGCTTGCAAGTTACCTGCGCGAGTGGCATATTCATTCACTTTTTAATGTTAAAAGATGAAGTGGAACAAGAAGAGAATATGTGAAATAGATCAGAAGACTTACCTCTGTATTGTTTGATTTCTCCAAATATGTGGAAGGACAAATTTATGTTCAAAAGAAAGCATGTTAAAAACATGCATTGCAGATTTCTTAAATAGGTATCCAACAAGATAAGGCATATATTGTTCTCCCTTTCCATCCTAGCAATAGCCACTTGTTATTTTCGTCGATTACAAAGTCTTTGTGATAGCTTGATGTCACCTTTTCTATTGCCCGATTCATGACCTCCCGTTCAAAAGGTATCTGTGTAAACCTTGCCCTTAGATTACGAACTTGCCATTGCTTATATGTCTCTGGCCTTTCTACTCTTTCCCACCCCTCGCAAGCTATGACATTCAGGGCTTCCCTCCCAAAGATCTCTCTCTCAATTAACATTCGTTCTGGAGACTCACGTGGTACATTAGCTTCCAGCATATCGAAAAGTGCAGAAAAGTGAAAAAGGACCTCACGAAATCGCGTGACAAAAAATGGGGCACTGTAAGCCCCATTGACAATCCCATGGATGAAAATGTCTGGATTGATTTCCCTTATAAGATCGAGAACAAGAGTTCTCGAGCTGTCAGTTAACACGGTCTCATCAGGCAAGTTCTTAAATCTATACAAACAATTGACAACAAGAAATTCGTCTTTTTCAAGCTTTAGATCCTCAAGTCTGATAGTTTCCCATTTCTTTGCAATTGCATGGTATTCAAATGGAACATTAAAGGTCTGAGCATAATCAGACAAACGGCGTCCTGTTTCCTCAATTCTTTCTGCTGGCCTAAAACCAGGTTGGGGAAACTCTATACCAGTAATCCGAAGCTTAGGGGGCCCACCTTCTCTTGCTGCGATACGTTGAATAAGCGTAGGCCATTGAAAGCCATAGAGGATACCAAAGTCAATGACATGGACCCTTGCAGCATTCCCTGCTTTTGTCATGATTGTCTTGTTTGAGGCAAAAACCGAAAGCTTCCTGAATGGTGATGACGCGAGATACAAGTGATACGCCTTTAAAAAATCGGCTGCTGATGTTTTTTTATTGACGAGGGCCTTATAAATCTGGCTACCAGTGCCAGCCAAGCGTGCCTCCATACCATCCGCAAAGCAATGAGCCAATCTCTGATTGCCATCTCCGAAAGGAGATGAATGGAGTCTGATCTGTTTCAGCAGTTCAGTTGCACTCCTGCAATCATCAGCAGCAACAGCCTGTGCACAATTTATCAAAAGAGTCCTTAAATCTACGATTTCCTTTTTACCACTGTGTTTCTTGCTGCGGCCCTTCCCTCCATTATATCCTTTTGATTGCCCATTCTGCACCGTAGTTTTCATTCTAGCATTCTTCAAGCTCTCGCGATAAGCTTCCAACGCTTCCTTCCCATTGCCCAAGCTATGCAGCAAAACTATATCAAACTCGTCTGAACGAACTGTTGATTCTGTATAAACAGCAGCTTGTTTGCTACTTCTTTCTTCTTCTAGTAAATCCTTATCATCTCTATGAGGATTCTTCCTCCCTCTCGGCTCTGTAGGTGAAGTCTCTCCCTCATACCTTTTCTCCACCCGAGCAGCCGCATAACCACTTTCCCCTCTTTTCTCCAGAAGCAACAAGTCATTGATATCCACATTGTCTAACAACTTAATATTAGTTGGGAGGAACTTGTTTGCTTCTTCCACTCCTTTCCTAAAGTTCCAAATCGGGTAGCTGTCGTTATATATATCAGGGTTATGAAGAGGACTTACAGGAGAGTCTAAGAACCCATCTACAATATTATTTAAGCTACTCGATGAGCTAATTGAAGAGTAAGTACCATTAACCGTTTGATCAATTAGGTCTCCACTACTGTCATTGCTATTACTCGCAAAATTATACAGACTTCCTGAGCAGTACTCATCTGGTATCTCACCGTTCTGGTAAGTAATCAACAGGTTTTGCTGAGGTGAAGGTGGATACTTCTTGCCGAGCGCCTCATAAAATGACTTCTCTTTCGCTTGAAATTCCAACGATTCCTGAAGCATATGTGTCTTATCCTCCATATCTTCTTCCATAAGCATCTGATTTATATAGCTCAAAACCGTATCAGAGAAATCAAAATCTTCATTGTATTCATCCTCAGTACCAATATCAGAAGTCAATGCTATGTTACTTGTTGGTAAAGGGACATTAGAAAGTGATTGAACTCCACTAACATTGTTTGGAACAAAGTTATTTTCAAATCTTGAACCATTGACTAGCTTCTGATCTTGATAAATAGCTTCAAATCTTGGTACATTATTCTTCCAACGATTCGAAGAAATGGGTAACGATTGGTTCTCCAGACTGAATCCAGAAGTTGGAAAACTATTGAATCTTGGATCCATTTTAACCTACATCATAAGTTCTCAAATTAAAGCTCATTGTCAACAATACCAACTGTTATTGGTAAAAGATAACAGACATTGAAAAGATAAAAGACATTGAAAAGGGCATTGAAGAAAAACAAACATTAAATCATGCATTACCAAGATTTAAATTTTATCACAAATTATCTTGGACTATCTTTAGATTCTTCCACCATTAAAAAAAAAGATTAAAGGGGGTAGCAAAAACTTGCAGTACTCACTCAATTCTATATTCTAGATGCAGCCTTGCTCATTTAACTTAAATTTGAGCTCATATATCTACTTGAAGTAAAATCCAGAGAACACCCAAATTTACTAGCAACCAACAACAACAACAACAAATCTAGTGAGTTACCACAAGTGGGGTCAGGGGAAGGTAGTGTGTACGCAGACCTTACACCTATCCTACAAGGGCTACAAGGGCAGAGAGGCTGTTTCCCATAGACCAATTTACCGGCAACCATAAACCCAAAAAAATAAAAATACACTTGATATGAAAGAAAAGATTGAAATATTATCACAGATTATCTGGACTATCTTTAGATTCTTGCCACCATTAGATTCATTTTTTTTAAAAATAATAATAAAAGGGAGCAGCAAAAACTTGCATCATTCACTCAATTCTATGTTCTATATGCAAACCTACTCATTTAACATAAAATTGACCTCATATATAAAGTAGCTGAATGAAAATCAAGAAAATCCAAGAATTAACAGGCAACAATACAACAACACAAGTGGGGTCCGGAGAGGTTGTTTCGGATAGACCCTGGACTCAAGGAAAACATAATCCCAACAATCATTAAAAGGAAAACAAAGCAGTGACAGTAGCAAGAATTAACAGTCAACAATAAGCTCAAAAAAAAAAAAGGGAACTACAGTCGATATGAAAGAGAAGATGTTAAGGGCATACCTCAAAACTAAGGAAAGCAAAATTGGTAGAAGAAAGCTCTGTGGAGAAAAAAGGGTAATAGTATAAATTTGTAAATCTGTTGTCAACTTTCTGAAAGAAACAGTGGAGACATCAACCGTTGAAAAAGGAAGGGTATTCGTTGGAAATGCAACGCCCTTTTTTAATGAATTATAGTGAAAATTGCTGCAATAACACGGGTAGAGTGGGTTCTTTCTCGATTTTAAAAGGCACTTTTACTGTTAATAATTGGATTGTAAACTTAATATACAATAACTTTTTAAGTTAAATATACTATTTAAGTAAAAATTATGGGTTAAGTGGAACTGATAACCACCGGAATTCTAGCTCAGAGTGGGCACGTTAATGTCAGAAGTGGGTTGCATGTGCTGAAATTTTTATTGTACTATTTGTTTTGTATTCAGCACGTCTTAAGGTTGCACTGTGTAAATTTTGGCTCTAATTTCAAGAAATTTCCAAGATATTGATTAATTTATCCTAAGGGTTCATTTGGTTGGAAATTAAGTGGGTGTTTGGACATAAAAAATTATAAAATTCCAAAAAAAAAAGTGAAATATTTTTTCAAGTGAAAATGAAATTTGAAATTTAGAGTTGTGTTTGGACGTGAATATAATTTTGGGTTGTCTTTGAAGTTTTGTTAGTGATCTGAGTGAAATTTTAAAAAACGGCTTTTTGAAGTTTTTCAAATTTTCGAAAAAATTCCAAAATTCATTTTCAAGTGAAAATTAGAAATTTTATGGCCAAATACTGATTTTGAAAAAAATTATTTTTTTTGAAAAAAAGTGAACAAATTCTTATGTCCAAACGGGCTCTAAGTTATCACAATATAAGCTATCTCAGAATTATTATCCCACCCTCCCGTAGGAATAAATATAGGACTATAAATTCGGGAATACTGATCTCGGGATTAATTATACTGTAATTTTTTCCCAATCAAATATGAAATAAACTCATCTCAAATTTAATTACGAGATTATTTAGTCTTTATCCCTCGTACAAAACGAACCCTCAGGATTCAGTTTAGTTTGTGAATGAGTTATGCTGCCATTATAAAGTAGAATTATAATACGGAGATTATATAATAATGTACTATTAAGTATATATATTTTTAGTAGTAGATATTTGGTTTATTAGATTAAAAATATGATATAAAATGTATATTATAAAACATTTATTTTGTTTAAATTAGACAAATTTGGAGAAATTTTTATTTTTAACTTAAATATTACCTTTCTCTTAAGGCTTTAGGGGAAAAGACTCGGGAAAAGGCAAATGTGTGATTTTGAAGACTTTAAGGAATTAGTAATCATGAAATTCTTATCACCCACGTTGAGTAAAGGGCAGTCGAGTGCACTAAGCTTTTGCTATGTTTTGAGAGTTTGGAGAAGGCCGGACTACAAGGGTATATATATATATATATATATATATATATATATATATATATATATATATATATATATATATAAAACCCATTTTTAAATAGTTCATTATCCAACCCATTTTTTGATGGATAATATGGATGAATAACTGTTTTCTTTTAATCATTTTGCCACCTCTACTTGTAATCAATGGACCCCTAACTGTGTAAAGTTTCTTTTTGTTTGTTATGTTTAAAACATGCAACAAAAATAATAATATATTTAGTATAATTCTATAAGTGAGGTCTAAAATGTGTCGCCTACTTAAAAACTAAAGGAAATATCAATGATATTTTCTACTAAAAATAATAGCATGTTTGGCCAAGCTTCTAAAATATGCTTATTTTGAGAAGTGCTTTTTCCAAAAGTGCTTTTCAAAAAAGTATTTTTGGTGAGAATCGGTTTGTATATGTCTAATAAATTTGAAAAGCATTTTTGAGCAATAATTAGTGTTTGGCCAAACTTTTGAAAACTGCTTCTAAGTGTATTTTTCTCAAAAGTGCTTCTAAAAAAAGTGCTTTTGGAGAGAAATTATATTTTCCTGCTTCTCAAGAACTGCTCTGTTTCTCCCCAAAAGCATTTTTTTTTTCCTTCTAAAAACTCGGTCAAACACCTTAATTTTTGACTTAAAGCGCTTTCGGCCAAAAAAAACTACTTTTAGCCCAGAAAAAAAAAAAAATTGGCCAGACAGGCTGTAAAGGTGCTACCAAATTGGGATACTTGCCTACCAATTGGTCTACAATTATGTCACTTAATAGGATAGTAGCGCGGTTTTGATTTAATATTCTTTTCTGTGCTTCCTTGTATTGAGATATACCGATGAAATGAGTTAAAGTAAAACAACATGCTGATAATAAAATGCAATTTACTATAAAATACACAAATTTATTGGACCTTTATATGAGAAAAGCTAAAAGAAATACAAAAAGAAAAAAAAGAAGGCATCAAAGAAAGACTATATACTAAGGAGGCACAATTCAATTAAATCTTTATCTGGAAAAAGACAAAACAAAAGTGTGAGAAACACAGATTGCCTACTACCAAACATGGTGATTAAAAAGAAAGGGAAGGTCATGACTAGCTCGATAATTTTGTATATAATTTAACTGGTTGTAATGAGTTATCTACTATTTCCCCAAACTATCAATAGATACTTTGTTTTGGAACATTTTGCATTGTCTTTTGAGTAATCTGATTATATAATAATTTTTTACATTAAGTTTAAATTCGAAAAGTATATATCTATTGAACGAGCAGATTCATTGTCAGCAACGAATATAAAATGATATAGTAATATATGATACACTGGTTTAATATTTTGAATTTGGTTCTGAGTGCAAATCAGAGAGGAGAAAGAAAGGCCAAAAAAGAAGTGGGAGACTGAGATGAAGAGAATTGGGCCACAGACCACTAAGACAAAATAAAGGGCAAATATCACTTTTAGTCCGTAATCGAAATTATTTATATCTGGTAACTACAAGTGTATTATATATATATATATACAAAAAATGTACAAAAAAGATAAATATTTGGCTATTATTTTCGGAACGGCTATACAATATCATTTTTTCAAATAAAAAATAATGCTTAGGTTTGTTTGTGTGTCGTAGGTTTGATTGCTTAGTGTCGTCTTATGTTTGGTGTTTGAGGTGTCCAAATTTTACCTTTAGGTTCCCCCTTTTGGATTTTGGATGTGTCACCTGTTATTACTTGACTTGAATATGAAAGGAAAATGATGCAGCAACAAAGTTTATACTTTACCAGAGTCCAATGTGACTTGAACTAAATCACCTTAATTCTGCCATAAAATTAGAATGTCCTTTTTGAGCTTAGGTTCTCATTCTTTTTGAGAAGGATAAACTTTAAATATGATATGTGCTCAGGGTAATATATCGCACGCATAAAACAATATAATAACCTCAAACTGATATTTACCCCCAAGAGCTCTCCAAGTCATTTAGCAGCAGCTCGTAGAGTATGCTGGCACATTAAGCAGCAGTCAAAGAATCCTAAAAGATCATAGAATCCAATTCAGATATGTTGTAGAAGCAACCATTTCAGATATACCACATGCAAGAGATAAGAAGCAGATGATATATGCTTATTAATTAAACAAAAACCACATTCTATCCGAAGTTTTACCGAAGGAAATGGCATGACCATTCAAACTAGCGATACTGAAGGGAAGAGCGAACACTAGTAACAACAACAACAACATACCCAGTATAATCTCACATAGTGAGGTTTGGGGAGGGTAGTGTGTACGCAAACTTTACCCCTACCTTGTGGAGATAGAGAGGCTGTTTCCAATACACCCTCGGCAGAGGGAACAGTAGTATTGATTTGAAAATACTATCTACAAAGTTTTGTTTCTTCTCTGATCACTCTCTGTTCAAGTCCCAAAATCCTCCCCTGTACCAATGAAAGCTGACAACCTTTTCTTCTGGAAGGGAAACACAAACGCAAACGTACGTTGGGGCATTAACATGGCAAAACAAGTTTTTGGCATATAATCCGATGGATCAGAGTATCTTAGGAAATGTGAAGAGAATTTCTTAAGACAAACAACTACGGATAGGTAACTGAATTATATCAAGTATCTCAGACCACAAGAATTGCCAAGTATAAGTGAGAAGCAACTTGCTTTATCCATAATCGTACATTTCCAGTACATGGACCAGTAGCAAACCAAGAACATTCTGCGAAACAATCTAAATGGAAGAAACCTCGTGCACCTGTTGGTCAGGGACCCGAGCCAGAATCCCTACGCTAATTTTGTAATCAACACCTATCTACTAATCCCAAAAGGAGAAACCGCGTTCTCTCATAACTCTTCGTGTTTCAGGTATTTTAAGGTAATCCCTTTCTTTATCGGCTTTTTCAAATTTGACCCTCTCTTTGTTCTCCTGACTACATGTTACTTTACTCTCTTGAAAATCGCTCCTGCCAGCTACCCAAGCCTGAAGCATCTCATCTATCTTGGGCTCCGACAATAAACCTTTTTGCTTCATTTCTTGATAGTATTTGTATGACTCCTCGATTTTTCCATTCAGAAAGAGTCCATGTATCAGCACTATATATGAGCTCCGATCATGGTCCAAGCCATTCTTGCTCATCTCGTCCCACAGCTTGAAGACATTATCAAGCTGGCGCCATCGGCAGAACTTCCGAATTAACATTATATAAGTATCATGAGTTGGAATACAGCCCATGATATTCATCTTCTGCAAGTGCTCGAACACTTCTTCCCCCGTCCTAAGGCAACGAAGCAATGCATGGTAAGTTCGAACAGTAGGATGTATCCCTCGCTGAATCATCTCATTGAAGGCCTCCTGGGCCTCATCTAGCAATCGAGCTTTGCAGAGAGGCATGATTAATGAGTTATAAGTAACAGTGTTTGGAGTCAGACCATTCTCTTCCATCATCTTCATCACACTCCTAGCTTGTTTAACCAGCCTGCCTTTTGCAAGAGCATGAATCACAGCATTGTATACTTTAACATCCGCTCCAACCCCATTCAATTTCATCTCATTGAAAAGCTTAAGCACTACATTGAGTCTACCAGCTCTCGAATAGCAAGACATGATACTACAGTATGAAAAAACATCACGGGGAATCCCTTTCTCCTTCATGAACCTCCAAATCCGCTTTCCCTCACTTAAATCATCAAGGGCAAGACACCATCCATTGAGAATGATATTCAAACTCTTGGTATTCAACGGAAAAACATTCTTATTGCAAA